ATATATATATATATATATATATATATATCCTCAGCAACAACTTGAGTTTGAGACTAGTTTATAGAAGAAATCACATTTTAATGTTATCATTTATTATAAATTAAGATTACAGTAAATAGAAGCTATTTAAACTTTATGATCTAACTAGTAGGGTTTCACTGATCTCTGGTGGATAATGTAATAACATAACAGAAAACACTAAACAAAAAGAATAACATTTTAGTAATGAGCGAATTTAGAATATATTAGGATTTGAGAAAACTTACTTTCATTTAGCATAATACACCAAATATCTATGAAGCAAGAGAATATATAAACAAAAGAAAAATCCAGTTTGCTTATTTAAGGATGCTTATTGGTTTGCTTAAGCTTATTGGATGCTTAATAAGGTTTGCTTATTTTAGGATGCTAACTAGTCTTCGACCCTTTGCTTAACTGTGACATTTGAACCTGTTTCATCACAGGGGCAAGGAAACATTTTTTCATTGTATCCTTTCATTCTGTCAAAAACATCCCCTAGGCATACCTGGGTGGCTCAGTTGGTTAAGCGTCCTGCTTCAGCTCAGGTCATGATCTTGTGGTTTCTGAGTTCGAGCCCCACACTGGGCTCTCTGCTATTAGTGTGGAGCCCGCTCAGATCCTCTCCCTCTCTCTCTGCCACTGCCTCCCCCCCTCAAAAATAAACATTAACGATTTTTTTTAAATCCCCTTATCTTCCATGGAAACATGGATTGTCTCAGCTCAGAAGCTGTCCTCAGAACTCTACCTTGACCATTGTGCCATGTGCTGCTGGTGTGAAAAAAAAAAAAAGTTTAAAATTTTGTGATGTATTGCCAAATTGTTCTCCAGAGAGATAAGAATGGTCTTTTCCCTGCAGCCTCACCAACCAACACTGGATATTTTTAATTTGTTAAATTATTTGCAATCTGAATCAACCAAAAATATATTTAATTTTTGTTTTAACTTGTGCATAAGACTTTATTGTTTGTTTTCTACATGGTTTTAATCCTCTTTTCAGTATAATAGTGCATCTTAGAATATGATAGAATAGAATATCATCATGTTAAAGAACAGAATGAGTCTAATTTATTTTAACTAAGTTTAATTTTATGATAGTTG